CTGGAGCTAGGGGATCTGGCTGGCTAGGAGCTGGTGGCAGGAAAGGGAAAAGATCTTCCCTCTCCCCATAAAAGAAGTCCCTTAACTGAGACTCCTCAATATGGGGAGCTCTGACTGCAGGGGGTGTAATACGTGGACCTAGTTTGAGTATTTTTAAAGATGGGGCTAGCTGTTGGTTATAGAGGTGACGACTGAGACTATGGGAGACACTGACCTGGTTATGGGGGAAGCTGAGGCTAGCAGCTGGCTGACCCATGGGAGTGGAGGTATCAGGCTGACCCGCCGGAGAGGGAGTGGTCTTCTTCCCCCGGCAATGCTTTCGCCTGGAGGGAGCAGTTGGCAGGGGAGCTGAGGGACAAATGGAAGGAACTAATGGAGAGGTTGAGCAGGCAGGCGCTGCAGGTGATTGTGGTTGAGGTAGAGGAGGTTTATTAAAAAGCTGAGCTAAAGCTGCCTTGTGGTTCCACTTCACCTCTTCTAAAATGTCCAGAAACCCTAGGGATGACAGGAGAGTTGTTTGGGGGGTTAAAATCTTTTTAAGGTCGGCTGCAGCACATACCCGTCTCCAGGGAGGGCTGTGAGTGGCAAGCACAGCATTGAGAAGGAACCAGTACTGAGTGACTGCAGAAGTGGATATTTAAGGAGAACAGAACAAAGGATGGACTAATGAGCTGAATAAGGAACAATCACAAGGGGGCAATAGAAAGTAACTAAAGAATGCTTTAATATCATGGAAAATAAAAACAAAACAACTGATAACAGAAAACTGAAAACTCAGTCACAACAATGTTACATCCACCAAGGGCACAACATATTTGAGGACACGAGACAAAAGATGAGGGTTCAAAAAGGTATTTTATTTATAAATTTTCTCCTCTTTCGCTTTCTTTGCTCGGCTTCTTCTGATTACTGCGAAGAAAAAAGTTAGAGGCCCTCAGATCCCGTGCCCCAAAGGAATAAAAAAAAAACCCAAAAGTAACAAAAGAAAGTTTGACCTGGCAGGCCGATCAAACAGAACAAAACGGTACAGCAGGGGG